AGTACTTATGTTCTGATTGTACTGCAGTACAATCAGTACTAGCAATGGTAACCATTGAGGAGTCTGTCATTCAAGACTCGGTTACTAATGATGGACCAGGAGTTCAGTTTCAAGTTGAAACTGAACTCCTAGTCAATACTGATTGTAGTACAATCAGTACTGGCAATGGTAACAATACCTGTTGGTTGAGGACTTGTGGGAAAGAATCTTGGAGATCTTGTCTTCCCTTCCACCTCTTGCGTTTATTTCTCTCCAGAATCCCACGTGTCTTGTTTCTTTGAAGGACTTTAGAGGCTTTATGTTTATAAATTCCACTTGTACTACAGTCTTCATGGTTGTTGCTCATGGTCCCACATGGGTATCGTTCTTCAGTGCCAGGTGAATCCATGTCAGCATCAGCAAGCTTATTGGATCCACTTCTGGCTTCAACAGAAAAGTCTGCAGACAAAGTGGATTCCGATTCCGATGGTTCGTGTCCTATCTTCATTCCTTCAGCTGAAACCAAAAAAAAAAAAAAAAAAAAAAAAAAAAGATTAATTGATCCAATTCCATTCCATTTAATTGTGATTCCATTCCATGATTCCATCATACCAAACAGTCTTATATACTTACATGAAGGGTTTGGAGCACCAGAGCTGACAATGCCTCTATACACACAATACTCATGAATAAGTTCATCAAGCATAGTGATGTCCAATCTCATCCTACACACTTCATTCTGTTAACAACCAGGGTTAAAATCGTCATTTCATAGAATGAGTAGCAATTGTAATTGACCATTATAATGTAAGCTTGCCTGAAATGCTTGGAATAGATCACCCTTTGCAAATTTTAAGCTGTCAACTGCCCCTTGTCTTGTAAGCTCAACAGCATGTGCAAGTGCTTGTATATCCACCTGATATCAGATGTAAAATAACCAACATTACAAACAAATAAATATGAATTTCAAAATCCATATAACCTTAAATAAATATGGTACCTCATCAAATGGAGGTGCTTCTAAAAAAGCCTCTTGTGGAGTAGCTGGAAGATCACGTTCTTCAAGCAGCAACCTTTCAGTAAGATCTGTTATTGGTGAAGAAATCCCTTGACGAAAGCAGAATCCCTTGTGTATGCTGCAAGATTGGTATGGAAACTTGAGAGAGAGAGAGAGAGAGAGAGAGAGAGAGAGAGAGAGAGAGAGAGAGAGAATCATAAGATGTGGACATTTAAAAGACCTGATTAGATATCTGATTGCCATTGAGAACAAGGGATCATATGCATGTAAGTGAGCTCTCAATACAGAAGTCATCAATCCAGCAAGTTCAAACAGCCTCCTTTCGGACCACTGAGAAATCATCAAAGATACTTTGTTACACATTCGGATGCAAGAAATGTGATAATGATGAATGTGAATATGATGGAATACAGTGTTGTTAGTAGAGAAGTAGAGAATTCCTACCTCATTCACCACAGGGGAAGTTTGATCATCTTTATCGTATATAAATGCAAGCAGAACATGCTTGAATTCTTCATATGCTTCCTTAGAATCAAGAACAGAGTCATGTCACAACCAAAACAAGGAGAATATATAGATAAAGAAAAAGACATGGTTAAGGGATTTGTGGTTTATACAGTTTGTGGTTTATAAGTAAAAGATCATGTACTACTTCTAACTACCTCAAGTCGCTCAACAAAAATAGCACAAAACTAACTTTCCAAACGGAGGTTTGACTTTAAAGAATCCCACAATGCAAAATGAATGGCAAGAATATTCAGGATCAATTGATGTTTACAGAAAACAATAAGAATATCGGAACATACAGGATAGGCGTCGAGAGCGCTAGGAGCGAGTGCAGTCCGCAAGCAATTGATTGCAGAATTACGATCCTCTTCAGTTCCTTTCCTCAAAAGCTCAATAAATTTCTTCACAATCAAAATACAACCAAATTCTTAGCATTTCACCCCCAAATTATTATTCAATCTTTGTGGACAACATTCAAATCGAAAAAGTACATCCTTTACCTGCTTCTGTAGACGGAAAAGAAGGCGGTGATCATCGAGAACGGAAGGAGCGTGGAGATGCAAGAGATCAATGGCGGAATCGATATCACCGAATTGCAATAAACGTCTGATTTGGAGAATCAGCACACGATACTGATAAGAAGAAGAGGAACATGAAGATGGAGATGATGAAGAAGGAGAAGCAGGAGGAGATGAATCTTCGATTAAGTTCTCCGATTTGGCGAATTCGATGACCAGAGAATCTAGGGCTTCCCAATTTACCGGTGACGGTGACGGTGATGATGGCGACGTATCCATCGATAAATAAAAACGGGAAACTTGTATGGAGATTTGTTTGTATATTGAGTGAGATGAATTCGGAAGTAACGACGACGATAAACTGAGGATGAGGCTGCGTTGATCGGAAAGTTATGTTTATGAATGGCGGCCACCGATGATGGTCTGATCAAAAATATCCTTCCTCCGTCCAAATTTTCCAATTCTTTCCTAATATGTACATTTATAAAATATATAAAAAGTAAAATGATTTTCATAAATTTTTGAGACAATAATATAAATATGTTTTCAAAGTCCATCTACAAAATGAGCTTTTTGGAAAGAAAAAAAAAATACATTATAATTGATGTAGCTTTTTTAAATTGGTTAACGCGTTGTACGGTAATAAATTTTATTTTATGTATATATTTATTTATTTATAGTTTTATTAACATATAACTAATATACTTGTTTAACATATTTATAAAATACAACTATGTTGACTAACCCACTTGAATACGGGAGTCTCCAAGCATTTTCAGGCAAACTTCTCGTTTACATTTTATTTTTAAGATCGATTTTGAGGAATTAAATATCATTAAAAGCCTAGGACGAGCCCAAGAAAAGGGGTCTTATCCATGCATATGGTTCTCTTAGTTGCTATAAAGCGTAACTTGTAGCTATCAAGAAAATCCAACAATAGGTACGAAGAAACTTTTGGTTGTCAAACCGACAACTATTTATATAGTTCTTGGTCTTGCATTTTCACGTTGTCAAAATCAGTTAGATGTGAAGAACAAGTTCCTCCGGGGCACACTTTTTGAGACGGTCTACAAGAACTAACTTGAAACACCCAAACAACATGTGTCTATCTCGAAAAATCATTGTACGGGTAGCAATAGGTCCCTTGATCCCGGTTCCACGATTTTGTTGGTTATGCCACCTATGTTGGTTTTCAATACAGAAAAAAGACACCTTACTATTCATCGATTGCGGCTTCAAGATGGTCAAAGTTCTCATTTACGTGGATATCATCATAATTACCGCATCATACACAGACCTTCTAGCTCCTTCGTCATCGCCTCCCTACTATAAAATGAGTTATCAATGACAAATTTTTGCCAAGGAACTACTTCCTTACGATCTTGGTCACCCGCTCATCTATGAGGGTATTTGTTTCACAAACAAAACACGTCATCGGGATTCTTGAGTGGGAAAACATGCTCTTTTACAACCCTTCCAAGACATTGGTTTATACAAATTTCAAAGTCGACGAAATTGGTGCACCCATCATCGATCCCACCCCTCTACCGTGTTGGTTTAACTACTTTAACAAATGACTCAACGATTTCACACACCGAGTAGTAATGCAAATTAAAAAAAAAACAAAGAACATAATATTTAACGTGGTTTACACGATCATAATGATCGACTGCATTCACATGCGAACACGAGAAACAGAGATTTTATTAATATTGTCGAATTACAATTCTACTATGTTAGGTTAGACGAAATCAAGAAATCTATTTATAGGAGCACAATGACCTAAGTCCTAAAATCTGCCAATAAGGCCAAGCCTAGAAACTGTAACGAATTTGGCCCATGCCTGATTTTGCTGTCAGATGGCTATAAAGTCAAATGGTGAATTAGGCTCTACAACTAAACAATTGGAGTCTTACAAGGTCATTACAATATTTAACTTTCACCCTCCCGAACATTACATACTCGATTCAACAAATGTATTTACATATGCATGACCATCAAGAATAACACCTTAATGCACTAAAACGAATCATGTGATAAGGACTTTCGATCATCAACTCCAACTTTACGCCTCTCCATCTTCTCATATTATTGCATATACTCTGACACCCGTTAGGGCAGATGACCAATCATATGTCACTCGAGCTTGGATTATTGTGTGTTATTCGACATCAATTTGGTCTCATCATCCTCCAAGCGCAAACACACTGTCTCCCCGGTGCAAACGAGCTGAGCATGGTCAGGCTTTGGCTCGTGCTCATTTAAGTTATACTTTGGCTCGTGCTCATTTAAGTTATACTGAGATCAAGCTCGGCTCAATTCGAGCTTCATTGTACCGAGCTCGGCTCGATCTCATAAAGAATTATACAAACTCAGCTCGGGCTCGGGCTGGAGCTCAGATTATTTTTTGTCTAACGTGTCTAAATAAGCTTAAGCCCGGTTCGAACTCGTTAATAAGCTCGTTTACTAATACCCTAAATCCCTAATTCCTCAAATATGTTTTTATTTTATTATATAAAAATAATAATAAATTGTGTTATATATAGGCGCTGTTTAGGCTAGCGCGCCTAATCAAACTTAGTGACAGACTCTCTCTTTCCCAATCTCGTGTCCGAAGCTAAATATTGCATATTGCATGGTTGCAAATGACTTAGTCGAAACATCTTGGATCTATAACTTCCCACATGAGCTTCACATTGGCGTCTTTATAAAAGATTTATCATCAGCAAGTTGATTTTGCGTCAATCACCTAGTCTTTATTGAACATTAGGCGCAATATACTTGGTATGCTTATATTTAGCATGTGTTGTAGGGTAAAGCCCATGTATTGTACTCTGTCTATAATCCATTTACTTAATGTGGAATGAGGACAACCATCCTTGATCAGAACGATGTAAATTCTACTAATATTGTTGGATTAAAAACTACTTAATATTTTTTTAAGACGTTACTAGTCAGTAAAAGATTTAATGCAATCATATCATTTAGACATTAATTCTAAACTTTTGATTTTATCAGTTTGTGTCATAAAAAATACAAGGATCTCTTTGTATCATTACACTAATCCAATTTATAAACCCAAAAGCTAACATTAACATTGGGTTAATATCTCAACACCATTTTCCGTTATCAAAAGTGTGTGCTCAAATTGCGCCGACAAACTTCCATCCTGAGTCACCACCGTCCAATCATCATCCCATATTATCGGGTGTATACTTCCCATTGTCAACATCGGTTCTGTCAAAAACAACATTAAACTCCACAAACTTAAAACATTTTATTTTTTTATTTTTTTTCAAAAAGTGCTTATTACTTTTAACTTACCGATGGTAAATGTCTGGTTCAGTATCATGTGTCCCCTTTCATTGTTCCCTAAACATTTTTACCAAATTTAACATGTATAAAAATATAAAAAAATAATTAAAGAAACTGAAAGCATATAAAAGAATTACTGTAGTGTAGAATAACTGGATCACTGTGAAAAAGACGTCCCACACCATGCCCAACAAAAGATTGCACAACACCATACCCATGTTTATCTGCATGTGCACTGAATTTAAATTTAAAAAAAAAAAAACAAATATCAGTTTAGATTATTGATTATATAACATATAAAATAGATTGATAATTAAATAAAAAAATAAAAAAAGAGAATCTTACTTTATAACTTTGCCAATTTTGTTATACTCAACTCCTGGTGCACATAGTGATATTGCCTTGTCTAAGCTTTCTTTAGTTACCTAAAACATATAAACTTTATTAAATATGATTAAATCTTTACAAAAAAATATATATCAAAATCTTTATTGATTTTACCTTTACAAGATTTTTAGCCTTGTCATCCACATCTCCACAAAAATAAGTTGCTGACGTGTCACCATGGTAACCCTGTCCATGTAATCAACATGACATTCATACATCAACCCAATACCGTGGGCTATTTTCGATGATAAAGACGAGGGTATTTTCGTCTTTTGTACAAATGAGAGAATGAGAACAATTCCATGTCCCACATTTTTTGGTGATAAAAAATTGCAATTTTTGTCCCAATTACATTCGAGAACACAGTGTTGTTACTGTTACTGTGACTGATATTGTGACTGTGATTGTGAATGTAGAATGAGAAAATAACTTACATTGAGATAAACGGTAACATCTATGTTGATAATATCACCATCCTATAGAGTGAAAAGTAAGATATATGAAAAAAAAACGGATGAAATGCTAAAAAATAATAATGAAATAATGGTTTTTAATGAGGGAAACCTCAAGTTCACGTGAATCAGGGATTCCATGACAAATGCATTCATTTACAGAAGTACACACACTTTTTGGAAATCCACCATAGCCAAGAGGTGAAGGATAAGCTCCATTGTCAATGATCATCTGATGAACTTGTTGGTCAATTTCATCTGTTGTAACACCTGGCTGCCAAATCATTTGCAAGTTTAGGCTATGTTTGAGATGCTGCAACTAGCTTTTTTTTTTTGAATTGTCATGTTTGGCAAAACCAAAATGCAGCTTATAAGCTAGCTTTTTAAAAAAGCTAACGTGCTTTTTTAGGATTCTTCCATATATGCCCTTTATTAATTAAAAAAAGAAAAAAACTCAATCTTCTACAAGCCTTTTTATGTTATTTTACATATTTCAACTAGCTTATCAACTAGTTTTACCAAACATCATTTTTTATCAGCTAAGGCTATGTTTGGCACGCCACAGCTAGTTGATAAGCTGACTTATTTTTCTGAGTTTTTTTAAGTTTTCATGTTTGGCAAGCCAAAAAGTAGCTTATAAGCTAGCTTTTTAAAAAGCTACTTAGACTAGCTTTTTAGTTAGACTAGCTTTTTAGAAGCTTTTTTAAAATTTCCAAATATACCCCTTAATTAATTATGTCATTTTATATATTTCGGCTAGTTTTACCAAAAGCTGTGTTTTTTTCAGCCAGCTTTTTAGCTATCAGCTAACTTTTCAACTAATACATCAAACATAGCTTTAGACTAGCTTTTCGGGAGCTTTTTTGAAAATATTCCAAATATACCCTTAATTAATTATAAAAAACTCTATCTTAAATGCCATTTTATGTCCTTTTATATTTTTCAGCTAGTTCTACCAAATGTTATTTTTTATCAGTTAGCTTATAAGTTCGCAGCTAGCTTTTCAGCTGACAACAACAGCTAGCTTTTCAACTAGTATGCCAAACATAGCCTTAGATAGAACGTTAATTAATGAGGTTAAATTTTGTTTTTTATGTATTTTTGTAAATATCAATCACCTTAACTAATGTTCCGGCATATTGAAGAACTTGTGCTGCAAGTCTTCCGGAAGCTCTCATGTACTCTATACCCTTTTCATCATGGACTTCAGGCCCACTTGCAATGCCAGGTGGCTTCTTGGAACCAACATAAGGAGGTTTGAGTATGTGGTCAGGGACAAGGCGACGTGGCGATAATTTCCCGGGCTTCAAACGCTTACGTGTCCCATTTTGTAGTTCTTCTATATTTCTACTAGTTTCATAAAAATTAGACAAAATGAAGAAAATAAAATATTGTTTTTTGGATTTAACTTTTTATTACCTTTTGTTAAATAGAAGACTTGTTGTGTATGATCTTGATGGTTGCAATGAAAAAGGTTTTCGACCTGCATTAGCATGTAAAGTTGTTGGATAATATTAACATAGCACATTAGCAATATAGCATAATCTCACTATAACAATACTTAAATAACTTTAAAACCAAATTGACATTAAATTTGCATAATCTTCGAGGCAAAACCAGATCTAAGAATGTGAAGCAACGAACTTGTTTACAGGCTTTTAAAATTTCTCTTTAGGGATTTCAAAACTGTGCCCCTTTTATAGCCTAATCGCTTTAGCAATTTCTATTTTAAAATTAGGGATTTTGCAATGAACATATATGAGAAGTAATTCGATGATTTCAAAAAGTAATATAGATTCATGAAAAGGTAACAAAAAATCGCATGCAAGTTGAATTGCACATCGACAAGAAGGAAAACAAAGGAATAAAACCTAAAAACTAATTTGCACAATAAATTAGGGATTCATTTCAGCCTAACCTATAGTGTACATATATACATGGCCAACTACTAATAAAATGATCACGAAATTAGATCCTCTACCCATCTGAAATACGCACCACCAAACACAGACGAAGCTTGTAGAAAGTGAACGAACCTGGGTTATAGCGAAAGAAGCGATGAAGGGGTAATGTTGACTGGATATAGCAGCAGTTTCCGGAAATCGATGAGAGGATATGAGGTCGGAGTGTAACACTCGCCGTCGCCATCGCCATCGTCGACGCGCTAACCAGTTTCTCGGTTTTATCCGGCCACTTCTCTCCCGCCAATGCCTCTTATCGGCAGAGACCCAATTTTCGCTCAAAGTTTGAAAAATTACCATTTTGCAACCCTCAACAATATAAAGCGTACAATTCGATCCTTTTTTGTATATTTTGTTAAAATTTACAAAAGTAGTTTTAAACTCTATATATATAGTTCAAAGGGATAATATCATTATAACCCAACAAGGTTTTACCAAAAAATTTAAAATATACCGGTTTTTGTGTGTTATAAGGGTACGAACAATTATAGTTAGACCCATGTATTTTTAATTAATCCCAAATTAATTTTAATTAATTTTTGTTTAATTATTAATTAAATGATTCTATTTCTAATTAATGTATTATCTCCATAACATATTAATAAATGTCTTTATTGATATTTATTAATCATATAATAAATCAATAAACTAGTATCTCTTTCTCTAAAAATCGTCATATTCAATTACTAGATTTGAGGGTAACCCAAAAGGACTTTGCTAATAATTCAAGTATATACTAATTCAGTTATTAGCTTAGACACTTAATCTAACAATCTCTCACTTGGATAAGTCTATAACTGCAATTACCAATATAACTTCTAAATTAAACAAAAAAGAGTGTTTCCATAGCAACTGCCGAACTCTAAACTGATCAGACATTGGCCCTAAGATAAGTAATCCAATATTCCTTCGTTCTTCAACATATTGTACGGACATGAGACATGGACTAGAATCAATCTCATTGTCCAAGTTTTGTTTCCTGATTTCTGATTTATGATGACATCATAAGACTTTTAATTGAACACATCAATTTAGTCCTGGCAGGGCCCAGCACTATAAGTCAACACCAAATCATCGAGAGACCCAAAGATATCGCTTTTCTCGTTAGGACAAAAGAAACGAATAAACTTAACTTATATGTTTTTATCCTTTACTCACCAAATCATACATGACACTGCATTTTATAACATCATGTTACTAATGAGTTTTCGTAACACCAATGCACAACTGACTTGTAAATTACAACTCATATATCTATGTTTTAAGAATATAAGATATTATCGTCTCATAATTACTTGTGATATGATCCATGAAGTAATTCTTTGAGCGTGGGTTTATCCAATACTTAAATCTTCATTTCTAAGTACTCATGAATGTTGTAGCAATACAATTGATATGTCTAACTCCCTTAGACAATCTACAATCCAATTCATGACAGTCTTAATTCACTACTTACTTCCAAAAGTATGAGTGACTGTGGAATTTGAATAATTAAATTATTCGGGAAGTAAAACATGCAAAACAAAACATAAGAATAAACAATTGACAAAGGCAGTAAACAAACTCATAAATAATCTCTATTATTTAATCACCAAAAGTCAACTACATTTATTTTGTTACAAGTTTCAAACTTCTCATCTAACTACTAAAACTAATATCATCTCTCAAACTAATGCTTCTAGCATGCTGATTATGCTTAACCCTACTTAGATTCTTCGTCAAAGGATCTGTAGGATTCTCTTTTGATGATACCCACTTTACAATGAGGTGACCTTCTTCTACTCTATATCTGATGTAATGATACTTTCTGTCGATATGTCTTGACTTGCCATGGTCTCTCGGTTATTTAGTCATAGCAACCGCACCTTCATTATCGCGAAAAGTTTCATTGACTCCTGAATGGTTGTAACTACTCCGAGATCTTCGATAAAGTTCTTCAGCTAAGTCGCTTCATTTGATGCTTCACTTGCCGCTATGTACTCTGATTCGCATGTAGAATCAACCATCGTGTCTTGTATGGAACTTTTCCAAGTAATTGTTCCACCATTTAATAGAAACACACAGCCCGATTGAGAATGAAATTTGTCTCTATCCGTCTGGAAGTTGGCGTCACTATACCCATTTACTCCCAACGTATCACTGCCACCAAAGACTAGAATCATATCCTTTGTCCTTCACAAATACTTGAGAATGTTCTTTACTGCTATCTAATGAGCCCTGCCAGGATTTCCCTAATAGCGACTGACCATGTTTAACTCATATCAACTATCTCTTCATCCGGACTTGGGATTTGAGTCTTACTCAACTTTGCATTGCTTTGAATAGGTAGCTCTCATTTCTTGGAATTTTCCGAACTAAATTCTTTTAGTACCTTGTCCAAGTATATACTTTGACTAAGTCCTATTAGTCTTTTCTTTCTATCTCTCAAAATTCTTATCCCGGGAATATAGGCTACCTCTCCTAGACCCTTCATAGCGAAACACTTTCAGTCAAGATTTCACTTCTTGCAAGGTTGGAACATCATTTCCTATAAGTAGTATGTCATCAGCTTACAATATTAGAAAAGTTACTATACTCCTATTAGCCTTGACATATACACATGACGCATCCTTACTTCTATAAAAACCAAAATCTTTGACTTTCTCATGGAAGCAAAGATTCCAACTGCGAGATGCTTGTTTCAATCCATAAATGGATTTTTCAAGCGTATACACTCTGTTGAGAAACTTTATATCTACAAAACCCTCTGGTTAACTCATATAAACATCTTCAGCCAACTTCCCATTAGGGAAAACGGTTTTGACATCCATCTGCCAAATTTCATAATAATGAAAGGCAGCTATGGCAAGCATTATCCTAATAGACTTTATCTTGGCCACTGGTGAGAAGGTTTCATCATAGTCAATCCATGGGGTTTGAGTAAATCCCTACGCAACCAGTTGTGCCTTGAATGTGTGCACATTTCCATCCATGTCAATCTTCTTCTTGAAGATCCATTTGCACCCAACTGTCTTCCGACTGGGTGCATGACCAACCAAATTCCGAAGTTGGTTATCATACATGGACTTGATCTCGCTGTCCATTGCCTCTTTCCACTTTGAGGCCTTAGGGCCTGCCATTACTTCCTTGTAGCTAGCTAGTTCTTTCAAATTTACCAGTGTATGAACACTAATAAACATATTGTAACATTTGCATTTCAGGTATTTTTCCTTTTTTCCCTTAACTTAAAAATTCTTGCATTTTGGTCCCTAGCTAGTACGCTAGGTGTACGCTAGGAGTACGTTGTGTGTACTGGGTCGATAGCTTAGTCTTGGAAGGTATCCATGTATGTTGGGCGTACGTAGAGTACGCAGGGAGTACGGTAGCCTGGGACAAACCCTACTTTTTAGAGTTTGAGCCTTATTTAAACACCTTAAGTTGCTCTTGGACCTTCTTATGACCAACCTCTACCTCTCTAAACCCTGAGAACAAAACCCTAATTGTCATTTGAGTGTTTTGAGCTTGGAAGTGATATTTGAGAGTGTTTTTGGTGATCTTGAAGGAAAAAGAGCTCTTGGAAGTTGCATTGGTGTGGTTGGAGATTGTAGACCCCAAATCATCATCAACTTGGGAAGCTTTTGTAGGTATAAAGCTCTTAAATTGATGGTTCATTATGTTAGATCTAGTTAGGGCTTGTTTTTGTGCATTTTATGGTCCCTTAAGTCATGATTGATAGTATGAGCTACTCCAGAATCTATGGATGGTAGATCTTAGCATTTTTGAGGTTCCTTGTGCATAAAAATGCAATCATGATGTGTTCTATTGGAACATTCATGAGTTAGGGCTCTTATTATGGGTTTTATTGGTCAAAAACAAGTATTGGGTCCCATTAAGACATGCAAAGGAGTAACGTTGCCAACTTTATGTGTTAAGACATCATTTAGGATCAGATTTGAGAAGTGGACTTAGTGGTTTAACCAATTAAGCACTTAATGGCGAGTTTGGTCTGATGTGGAGTACGATGTGCATACCCAGCTCGTATGCATCGTGTACTGGCTAAAGGTGGCATACGTCGGGCGTAAGTCTGAGTACGTCTACTGTTGACTTTTGTGATTTGGGCCATATTTGGACTATTAGGGTTTTAGGGCTTTTTGGGCCACTAGTCTTTCTGACTTTGGGCTATTGTTAGGCTGTGGGCCTTCTTGGATTTGGGCCCATAACTGGATTTGGATATCATTTAGGAATTTGGGCCATATTGGGCTTTAGGTTCCATTGGGTTAGGCCTCGGTTATTGGGCCAAGTGAGGAAAGGGTAAAATGGTATTTTACCCTAGGTGTTGGACAAATGAACTAGATTCACAGTTATGGTTTATGGACCAAATATTATTTGGGGTTTTATTTGATTGCTAGTGCAGGGAGTTTCCGGTTCAGCAGCCCGATCATTTGTTTGACTGACAACAGGTTGAGGTTAGTTTTCTCACTATACTGTAGGACACTAGGATATGTTATGTGCTTGTAGTCTTTGTGACTCATGATATATGTGTTATATGCCTATGTGCATGTTTGCTACATGTATGTGGGGTGAAATAGACTCGGTACAGCCTTGTGCTAACACTTGAGTTGAAATAGAACTCGGGGGTGAAATAGACCCTGGGGTGAAATAGACCCGGTACGGCCATGGCCCAACGCATGAGTTGAAATAGACTCAGGGGTGAAATAGACACGAGGTGAAATACCCAGCACAACCTTGAGCTGGAAGATATGTATGGTATGCAGTATTTTGGGGAACTCACTAAGCTTCGTGCTTACGGTTTTCAGTTTATGTTTCAGGTACTTCTGGATCGAAGGGGAAGAGCTCAGGATGATCACATCACACACACCATGATCTCCATTTTATTTGACTCTGATGTATTGAGATGATTGATTGACATACTCTGATTTTCAGTTTATGTTTCAGGTACTTCCGAATCGAAGGGGAAGAGCTCGGGATGATCACATCACACACACCACGATTTCTATTTTATTTGACTCTAATGTATTGAGATGATTGATTGACATATTCTGATTTTCCTTTATGGATTTATGAACATGTTTTGGTTGATGGTTTTATTATTATGAAAAAAAAATTTGTTTTAAAATTTGGGACGTTATTCATATCACCATCTACAGTTATATGGAAACCTAAAACTGAGGTAGCATGCTATCTCTACTGGAATGTCGAAGAGGTAAGGAATTGTCAACTAGTTCAACTTGAATGTCTTCCTCTGGTTGAAT